AGTTTCGCCGATCCCTGTACGCGGACGTCTAAATGGCTATACAAGAAATGTGAAACCAGCTTCCGTTCGCGGAGCTAAAACTCGCGACACGAGAACAAAATCAAAAATTGGAAGCTGTACGCCCATGGCGAATTTCAAGAGCAAAAGAATGAGCTATTGATTGTGGAAATCGGCCGAACGATGCCTGCAGGAGACCTTTTTCAAGACGTAGAGGCAGTGCGAACAGACACGGACGAACTCCACAAGAGTTTCCAGTCTTCACTGTCTGAACAAGGATTTGAAAAAATTCAAGCCCGAGCGTAGCCGCTTTGTCTACACCAGTCTGTCCCCGGGGAAAATTGCGATTCCGCGGCCGCGTTTTTTTCCGCGTTTTTTGCGATTTTTTAAAAGACCGCGTTTTCCGCGATTTTCCCGCGTTTTTTGAACTTTTTGTTGCACTACACGTACACACAGTGCACTTTTCGGTCAGCAACGTCTCATCGTGGCGGCTTTTTACTCAAATAATGGGTGCTTTATACACCAGAGACTTGTAACTGATTGATTTCGCTACATACTCACTGAAAATTGCCGCATTCACCGCATATTTACCGCATATTTACCGCAAATTATGCCATATTATGCCGCGTTTTCCCCGCGTTTTTTGCGATTTTTTTCCGCAATTTTCCCCGGGGACAGACCAGTACACGATGGCTGTGAGCACTGCAGCGCCAACCCGGTTCGCTCCCCCCAGGCGATGCAGCTATTGCGTGAGTGCGGCGGGATTTTCACGCCTACACCGGACCCTCAACATCCTGGGCACTTCATGAGCATCCAAAAATATTGATTCCATGATCTAGATGTACATGTGCGTCTTCTGGGGGGGGGGGGGGGAGGGAGGGGGGACAAGGGAGAGAAGCACCAATATCGTCTCTAAAAAAACATCGATATTTACGGACGGCCCCTTAGCTTCAAATCGTTCTCAGGAGTCAGCTCGATCAAATTCGAAGTCATTTTGTGAAAGATGACTGCTCCAGATGTTAGAGCTATTCCAGGTCTTCCTGGCGTCTGATTGACACCTACATGTACATGTAGCTGACAGACGACTACCGTCTGCAACACAAGCAGGGTGTGATTCATTCTTGTAGGTGTACCAAGTACTATATACACGGTCTAGCATTCTTCTACTGTAGCGGACATGGAAATCCAGTCCATTGACCGGGGCTGGCGCCCTCTCGGCCTAAGGCTCAGCGCGTACAGAACGCTGCGTGCAGTGCACATGTTGATCCGATGCGACCAGCGCGCTGCAGCGCATAATAATTATTATGTGTACCGCTTACCCACGGCTGCATGGCCAGCGCCCTGGGGCCGCTAGACGTGCGACCGGATTTCCATGTCCACGGCAGTAGTTTGCTCCAGACGGCAGTGGGGAGCAGGGCCTGCTCTAGACATTCAACACAGCCCGGTCAGAGTGTACCTGGCGCATGCAGGCCAGCCGGGTCAAGCCGGGTCAGATCATCCGGCAGAAAAACAAACAAAAAGCCTGCTCAAAACTTGCAACTGTGTCAAAAGCTATAGCCAAAGTTACGCTTTTGACTGCCTGCCCCATCGACTTTCAATGTCCTGACTTCCTGCTCGCCGCTGGCCAGATCGCGCTCGAACCAGTTGGCCCCAGTTGACTCTAGCTAGGCCCCGGTGTAATATGCCCGAAACTTTGCCGAAAATGCTTTTGGGAAATTCTCGTAAACCTTGCCGAAAATGCTCCCAAACCTTGCCGAAAATGCTCGGAAAATGCTCACTTTTTTTTCATCCTCAGCACACGCCGTCAAAACCAGGGAGTCAGAAAATACTCAATAAGAGACTTGCTCGGCATATTGCACGGGGGCCTAACCGGCCTAGCCGAGTTTCTGTCGCTTGTGTACGGTTGCGCTAGATTTGCATGCAACAGATGGGGTCCGCGAGTTGTAAAATACCGGTATTTTAGGAATCCATTGTGAGTAAGTAAGTAATAGTTTGAGACATTTTTCAGCCGGGTCAGACTGGACCCGGTGTTATCTGTTCAGCCAGGTCGTGCAGTTCCCCAGCCGGGTGCGTGACCCGGCTGACCCGGCTCTCCAGCAGGCCCTGCGGGAGTCAACCAAGTGTCACTGTCAGTCAGTGGGCAGGAAGTGCGAGCTCGAACTTTCGGAGCAGCCACCTTCTGCTAGAATAATTACGCCAATTGAAATCACTGCATCTCAGGACTCAGAGGCCAAGTTTTGACTCTTCATTTATCGCGGTGTACGTATGCCAACAGTAGCGCGGACCGGTATGGGTTTCAAGTTCATCCCTGCAATGTCTCAAATGTACCTCGTCGTTTCTTCAACTAATTGTACGTTCAAACCCACTAGGCTGTACGGAGACCTTGAATTGAGCGTGGCATGATAACGTCCACCGTTCTACAAGTTATCATCAAGTGTTTTCATTCATTTTGATTATTATTTTCTTCCTCTAGTTGCATGTGCGACTGTATTTACAGTTGAGTCAAGTCGTTTTAGTCCCCTGATCCCCTGATCCCCTGATCCCATAGTCTCTGGTTGTTTCTGGCATCTGTCAACCTCATTGCTGCATAGGTGTACAATCATGTATTGTACTAGCCGACATTGTGTCTGCATTTTGTCCTTTGTTGCTTACCATCAGCACACCCTGCCTCCAGTCACGCCCTGCAGCAACTTATAGATACGGTTGTGCGTCTCCAGAAGAACGTGAAAGTGCTCCAGGAAAGAACGAAGGTGAGTTTGGAAAAGCTAGAGTAGACGATCTCAATAACATCCAGGCAGGTGTTCGTTTCTAAGAGTTTCGTAATAATTATGTTCGGTCATTGGAGAAAGCGAACTTTTCCTTCTGTTAATCAAGTATATCCTGAAACTATGAAGAATATAGCGTACTTTAAATCTGCTAATGCACCTTAGAACATTCCAAGTTGGAAGGCTGTTGGAGTGCGCATCTAAGATGTGCTAGAGCCGGTAGCCAGTTAGTTGTAGAACGTCGGTCCGTGTCGTGCAATGTGATGGCATGAGCTGATTGTTTAGTAACTGGTGGTGTTAAAGGACATTATCGCGTTACTTTTAGTTCCTTGGTCCTTTTTCTTTTCTATAATTCTTCTGTCCAGAAAGGTACACACTTTTCAGGTTACCTTATCGCTTCTGGTGTTTCTCTTTCCTGTTTCCACTTTGGTGCATTCCATTATCATGGCACCGGTTGTAATCTTCGTACTCTAGGATACAAGTATCAGAGTAGGCACTCTATCAACAGTGACCTGGATGAAGGACAGATTACATCAGTGACGTTTAGGAAGAAGTATGCCAACACTGTACTGAAGTTATCCTATTCTGGTACTATACGCACATTGGTGGCAGGCATAGGTGTACGTTGGTTCTTCAAGATCGACGGCAAGGAGTGTGCCAGACCCACTAAGATTGACATGGTCATGTTCAAGCGTAGCTCATACAACCTGCACATACCATCTGTACTGACCGGCATCTGTGAGTCGACATCCAGTAATGGGGCTAACATTGCAGCTGGAGATCACACGATTGCTGTTAATGTAGGAAGACTGTATCCCTATGGCAATGGAAACCCATACACTGGTTGGCGATCGACCTCAATTCTCGAGATTCAAGAAATGTGTCCACAATTTTAGAATCTGACTATAAGCGTGGTGGCTTTAGAGGCACAATTAGTTCTGCAGTACGAAACCTGTGTTTTGGAATAGGATGGTGTCTTTGCCACCGCTTTTGTTTCTACGCTTCAGTTTCTTGCAAACGATATTCCTCTCCTGCTCGTAATTTTTAAAGAACTTGGAAGCTTCATTTTAGCCTTTTCATGTGTGTGAGCATTATAAGTGGCATTATATCCTCATATCATTATCATTGCCTTTAGCATTATCGCAGCAAATAACTAGCATTACCCGCCCATGCCTAGCCGGATGCGTTCGGGTGCACGATTTTCGGAACTGGACCTAGCCAGCTTCATGCATGACACCGTTGTCGACCGGCAATTCTGCTTGTAATGCCAATTTTGCGTGCGAAATGGTGTTATAATTCCAGCATTATGCCACCTGGCAAAAAGGAACTAGAATGGGACTATAATGCCAGCCATAATGCTAGCATTACCCGCCTATGCCTAGTACAGACTAGATAAGAAAAGCCTCTTGTACGGGCAAAGCAAAATAATTACTGTGCTTACATTATTATGACACAAAATCTCAATACAAAACAATGAACAAAACGCCAAGAATCTGAAGAAAAAGACTCAACCCAATCCTTTGTTGCCATAGGTTCGCCCTTAACGGGAACTGAAACCCAACACAAATCTGAGACTAGACGCTAGCTGTTTCACTGAGTGGCACGCCTTTGCCGGCTTTGCCTTACGCCCTAATTAAAGGGGAACTCCACGAAAAATGAAACTTTGATAGCCTGTAGAGTATCGGGCGCTGAGTCGAATGGTCTTGACTCTTGGTCCGAAGCCTCTACGACGAAGCGTTCTTGAGATATTTCACTTTGAAATTGCAAAAACGGGGGCCGCGCCCTGACGTCATGCGGCCATTTGGTTACATCATCACGGGCTGCCTACGTCATTGTGGCATAGTCGTTTCTCTTCGCCAATCTACAAGCACTAATTTTAGTTGGTATTTCAAGGGAAGATGGGCGATTCCGAACAATCCTCTGTCCCCAGCAATGAAGGCAGCGATGCTGAGGCCAGTGAGGACGACCAACAGCCCACCGCCGCGTATGGTTGGGGCAGGGAGCCCAGATACTCTGCTGAGGAGCTGCCATCGCGTGTAACAAATGTTGAGGAAGAAGATGCTTCAGCAGCTGCGTCCGACAGAAGACGAGTAGCTTGGCCACCAGAATCTCGATTCGCTTGGGACTCCGACTGGTGCGAGCGTGGACAAAAGTGTATAACCATGCCCAGCCCGCGGGAATGATTTTGCTGGTAGGATGCTGCCGTCGCTGTCGACAAGACGGCCCAAGGTGTCTTGCGTAGCGGACCTCGCAGATTACGAGATCGTATCCTTGCATTAGGCTGTGCCCATCACTGCTCTTCGAGGTTATCTCGACATGCAGAAGCCGCCAATGCCAGTGACAGAAGAGTCTGACATTAGGTAAGCCTCAATTAGTTTGCCTTGACTTGTCTTGTGAGGATCGCGTATCAGCATGATACACTTATTCTTATTTTTTGGGGGAAATTTATTGTTGTCAGGCGCACTACAGTAGGCGTCGCACAAGAAAGACATTGTACTGGTAGTTATCACAAGTTTCATGCATGACACAAACAAATTTCTCTTTGCTCCGAGTATGTCTTGACTTATCTTGTGAGGATCGATGCACGTCATGTTTTGTGTGTAACTTATTGTTGTCAGGCATAGCACGAACAACGTTGTTCTGTACTATAGCTATCACAAGTTTTCATGCATGACTCACACCTTGTCTTTGTCATTTTCCCTTGGATTGGTACAAGATCTGCAAAGTATGGTAGGTAGTGTTCTGTTGGTGAAGAGAGCACTGCACACAGTTTATGAGCACCATGGATGCATTTGATCACACCCGAACACATACTTTATCGTTTCAAGCGATAGACTTTGTCAATAAACTCGTTCTCTAGTATACCATGGCATGCAACGTACAAGCGTGGGGTCAAGAAAGCGTACACCAAAATAATGCACAAATTCTGGCAGGAGAGTAAGAAATCTGCACTTTCTGACCAAGACATCTCTGTACTAGTAGGTAATCGAACGCGTCCTAATCAGTATTCATCCCCCAGATCATTGGAATTCAATTTGAAATCAGCAATTATGGTAAATTCTACAAGACCCTCCATCTTTGTACCAGTGGACACTAAATTAGTATGGCGCACGCACTGAAAGTGCAGGTAGGTACCGGTAGGTGCAATACAGCGCATATGTAGAGTAAATGAGTATTTGACTACAGGTCCTCCCTCGTTAGTAGATAATCCCTGGACCGTCGAAAAAGTTATCTTATAACGAGACTTATCTTGTAGCAGGACTTGCAGGTAAAGGTGAAATAGGCACTACTTCGTACTTACCGGGGCTACCCTCGATACAGCATAAATTATCGATGCTTCAACTCGTTATAAGATAATTGAAAATCTCCAAGTTACTCCAACATAACTCTTCCTTGGATGCAAAGGATCGTCCATATTCACGAATACATAGACATAATACGTTTGCTCTTTCTGCTTTATCCAACGTGTTTTGGCCTTGGTCCTGCATGGTCAATATTATCTTATACTGAGGGTTTGGCACTCCAGGAACCTGGTCAAAGGGTCGTTATAACGGATTTTATGTACTAACGGATTATGTTGTAACCGGACCTGTAAACAGGTGTATAGACCACGTTTTGCCAGGGGATTTCCGCTTTCTATTTACTAACGGGGTTTATGTAGTAACCGGACTCGTTATAATGAGGGAAGACCTGTATAATAATTATTACGGTACAGCAATGTGGTATGTGTACAAGCACTCATCATACACATTCCATATGACATTCTGTGTTTGTGTAGATCTCTACGCTATGCGGCACACAGGCAGTACACACTATGTACACGGCAAATTGGGCAAGCACGTTCGTTGTCGTCTTCCAGCCTGCGTTGTGAATACCATCAGGCAAAGATATCCAAATCCTGCACCACCTCAGCCTTCTCAGGAGGCTTCCACCTGGAATTTGGCAGGGAAACACGCTTCTCCAAGGCAGGAACATTGAGGTTGCCATTTGCAACCGCTACCACCTCACACATGAGCTTGTCAACATACTCATCGCTCTTTCTGTCGTATAATTTTCTATTTGGCCACAGTCTTCTTTATGCTTTGAGAACTGGACTTTATACCTTCCTATCGCGGTCTTTTTGGTTGTGCTGTGGCGACGGTTGACATTGACGTCGTCAAGAGCTGCGAGATGTGCGTGTCCAATCATCCCCAGAATTGAGAAACGAATGCGTTTGAGAATGTAGTTTGGCAGGACACTGTGATATACCTGCATGGCAAAAAGAATGTGGAGAAAACACACTTGCTTAGACAATATACTGCTGTATGAGAAAATGGAAACTTCACCGTACAGGACGACTCTTGTTCTCAATTGCATTGTTCGTTTCATTCCCTGTGTTGCCCATAAGAGACGGGAGCAAAAATGTTCAGCAGATGTTTGTTGTCTTCTGGCGTGGAGTGGCGGCGTCATTAGATGTACACATAGTCATTTCACTAAGTACACCACTACTACAGCATATGTACTATCCTTAGGCTAGCGTGCGTGCGAGTTAGTTTGAGTATGTTGGTGCGTATGTGTGTGTGTTGTTGTGTTTGTGTGTGTGCACGCACACGCGCGCGCGCATGTGGGTGAAGGTGTGAGTGCATGTGTATAATATGTGTAGTTTCCACTGTAGCTCGTGTAAAAACGCTCTCATCTCGGGATCTCCGCTGCCTGGCGTCTACCAAGTACCATGCATGGTCGACTGGTGTCTTGCGCGGCTGAGTAGATCTGCTACGTGCACGTGTGTGTGAACAGATAGGCCTACAACTACGATGATTGTGGTAACGCGAAATAATATTACGGAGGATTAGCAAGACGAAATTCGCGTTCGCGTTCGCTCTCCAAGGAAAGTCGAACTCAGTGACGGAATTCGCGTGATGAGAAGGATTAGCAAACAGAATTCGCACATGCATGACGTTGACACGACGTACATTGCGTACAGACACTACAGCGTGGTAAATTTATGACTGCCCTGACACGAATCCGCGATTCGTGTTCCGACTACTTTTCCGAACGAAAAATGCGAAAGTACGCAATCCAGTTCGCGAACTGAAAAATGTTTGCGAACGCGAACGCGAATTTCGTCTTGCTAATCCTCCGTAATTACTCACCGCTGCTTACAGCCGCTAGTCGACGGTTGATTTCATGTCGAAGTCGGCGTTGGAGCATTGGCTGAGAAATCGGCCTAGTCACAGTAGTGCGGACCAGGAATGACGTTGTTCTCATGTGACAACCAATCACGTACAAATACAGTGCTGGCAACTGAAATCCGACCCCTTAGCGGTGCGTTCACATTCTAGCGGTCTCTGTTTCGTAGTTTTACCATCCCGTGTTGGGTCTTTGCGATGTGAGCGCAACGCTTAGGGGGTCGGATTTCAGTTGCCAGCACTGTATATTACGAGGGAATCGTGTGAAGATTAGACTTGTAAACTACACACCGTACACAAGTGACAGTGTGACAGTAGAGAGGTTAAGATGCACGTTATTTCCGACGTGACGCGCAATTTCACGTCAAGTTTGGCGTAAAACTCCAAATTTCGACGTGAGCAGCAGGTCACTCGCGTTGATTTTTCGACGTGCGAGCCAAATAACGCGAGCTGGACTTCCGCGTCACGTTAGAAATAACGTGCATCTTAACCTCTCTAGTGGGACAGTGTGAGTTGACGTTGTGTGGAGGTACCGGAAACACACAGGACATTCTGTAGTGATTTACTTTTTAAAAGTTTTGTTTGCAAGAGAGAACAGGCACCCTAATTTTGATGTTTTCATTCGTATCCACTGCACCTCCAGTGTACATCCGGCTGATCGTCCCTGGCGAATGTGTCAGACAGTGGATGAGGCAGGAAATAGCGTGTGAGCGGAGCTAGCTGTACGCGGCATGTTAAACAAGACAGCGACGACAGGGACGCTGTTTCTTCGATCACACTGTCCGCTCCTATCCCGCTCCATACTATGCTCTCCGAAGTAGTTCCAAGGAATTGCATCATCGCCCGAACCTATAAGAGAAAGACCCCTGTTCTGTTTCTTCCATAACTGACGGGAGATGCAAGTGGCAGTAGTTAAAGTTGAGTTGAGTTGAGAAGCAGTGCAGAGAATCTTTCACGGGCTCCTTGAACTTTGCTGGGGTCGATCGTTGCGTTCTCAATCGCCCTATCGATACCATGGCGTCTCTACCAGCTCATCAGACTCTGGGCATCGTTAGGTTCGTGGCCGCGACCATGATTCTGCTCGTGTTCCATCACCATGTTGAAGGTACGTATGCACACACGAATCGCCCCACTCGTTCATCCATTCCGTCATTCCTTCATTCCTTCATTCATGAAATTGCGCTTGAGGTAGGAGCACGGGTGTTCCAAATGGGAAAGACAAGCCTTAGTTTTCCTTAAATTTCCAGGTCCTATAAATGCTGATGCCATATTCATTTAATCTAGCTTGTATAGTCTATAGCAACATGATTGTAGTCTGCGATCTACAGGCACGCGGAGCAGTGGTGTTCGCTTGGCAAAACTGATGCAGGAAGTGCAATCCACACAGTCAATCACTGTAGATACGTGTAGTGCAGTACACACATCCTGAGAACCATATGCACCAGACAATGTGGCTGGCTGTATAGTACATCTGTAGCTCAGTCCAGTGATTAGCCTGATGGATATACCCAGGTACAAAGAGGAGGGAGAGAGAGAGAAAGAGAGAGAGATAGATAGATAGATAGATAGATAGATAGAGAGAGAGAGAGAGAGAGAGAGAGAGAGAGAGAGAGAGAGAGAGAGAGGTAGAGGGAGAGCGAGAGAGAGAGAGAGAGAGAGAGAGAGAGAGAGAGAGAGAGAGAGAGAGAGAGAGAGAGAGAGAGAGGTAGAACAGGATTGAAATGGGATGATTCGATGCAATGGGAGGGTAAGGAACGATATCAGCCAAGGGCCAGAATGTCAAGCTGGCCACATATATTTGACAGGCATGTGACAGGCATACATCATCTTTTCACTATCACTGTCTTGTTAATGCTGTCGTTTTGTCCCACAATACGAAGTCAACTGTACTAATATTACTCATGTGTACATCTCCGCTATCTCTAACAGCCGCTGCAGACAGCTGCGTGGTGAAAAGAATGCTCAAGGCTGGTATTCCTCCGAGCGACGCCAGGACGTATGAGCGACGTGCTCTGTCCGGTAGGTTTTCAGAGAAGACGCTGATCGCCATACCTGCAGACGTCCTGGCGTTCATCCTGAAGTCACCAATGGGGCACGCACGTGCCATTCAGCAATGCATACGTAAGTAGCCATCCATTCTGATCCGGAGTTATTGTGTGTTCGCTTCTCTTTCAGGCCTCCATGCGTTCATGCCAATAACTCCTTCGCTTTCTTGTTATTGGGCAACTTGCCCGTTAGAATCTGCGAAGTAAAATAAACAACAACAACAACAACAAACTCGCTTCTGGCCAAGCCTACACATCATATGTAACGCATAATTATAAAGGAGTAAAGTGCTAGAAAACAATTTGACTAGCGGCTGCCAGAAATCGATTTCAACTGATATAATTTAAAATGGGTATTCTAGAGTTATTTATACGGCACGCAGGCGCACACGGTGGTCAGTCCGCTCATAATGACATAGCTGGTAGTGTGCCAGTCCAATCATGAAGGCGGTAAGATGAAAATCTACATGTACGCTCTGTTGACGCTGCAAAAATGCTTATCATCTCCCTCCCTCCCTCCCCCCCCTCTCCCCCCCTCTCCCCCCTCTCCCCCCTCTCCCCCCCTCTCCCCCCCTCTCTCTCTCTCTCTCTCTCTCTCTCTCTCTCTCTCTCTCTCTCTCTCTCTCTCTCTCTCTCTCTCTCTCTCTCTCTCTCTCTCTCTCTCTCTCTCTCTCTCTCTCTCTCTCTCTCTCTCTCTCTCTCTCTCTCTCTCTCTCTCTCTCTCTCTCTCTCTCTCTCTCTCTCTCTCTCTCTCCCCTTAGCTCTCTCCCTTTTGAAATTCGCTTCCAAAGAATTGGGCACCATTGCCCGTTTGGCCTTGCGAAGCAAAATAAAAATCAACAACATGTACTAACTGACATTGTCAAAGACTAGATCTTGTGTTGTGTTGTTACTTGTTCTCTCCTGGGAATCCTCTGCAGTGAAAACATCGACAGCATGTAAGAAGTATTCGCCTTGCCTGAACGGTGGACAGTGTCAGCTAGCACTTTCCAAGAAGTCATACGGTTGCAAATGTGATGTTCACTTCACTGGTGATTACTGTGAGAAAGGTAACACAAGTTGGATATTGAAGACTCTCGAACATTCGTGACTCTGCTTTCCCAGATAGAATTGAACAATCGAAAGGTCTATTCGCCTTAGCTTCAGCTAAGACAGTTCTCAGGAGTCAGCTCGGTCAAATTCGAAGTCATTTTGTGAAAGATGACTGCTCCAGATGTTAGAGCTATTCCAGGTCTTCCTGGCGTCTGATTGACACCTAGATGTACATGTAGCTGACAGACGACTACCGTCTGCAACACAAGCAGGGTGTGATTCATTCTTCTACATGTAGGTGGGCCAAGCACCATGTACCTGATGTACACGGTCTGGCATTCTTCTACTGTAGCGGACATGGAAATCCAGTCCATTGACCGGGGCTGGCGCCCTCTCGGCCTAAGGCTCAGCGCGTACAGAACGCTGCGTGCAGTGAACATGTTATTTATTATTATTGAAATAAATAAGATAAATTGTGCACTCATAACAACAGCAAAAATGAAGAAAGTCAAGTTCCATAACGTTTTCTTGTGACTGTCATCAGTGGAACGCCGTCACATAAAAATGTAATAACTAAAACACACACTTATATACATGTAGCTAATATGGTGACAGTCACAAGAAAACTTTATGGAACTTGACTTTCTTCATTTTGCTGTTGTTATGAGTGCACAATTTATCTTATTTATTGCCATTTTACGACTATTGTCTCCTCGTCGATTGTTTAATTATTATATATATTTGAGGATTTCCCAAAGACGTAGTCTAAATTGAAGGGAGTTGCATTATAATGGGAGGCTGTAGGGTTGAGATAGCAGACAGTGGAGGGCTAATGATTCGTAATGAACAGCCTAGCAAGAGAAATACAATTATGCTGAATGTTCCAGAATGGTCCTTTACTCAATGATACCTTTAGCCTCGGGGTATGCCTTGAAATACGAAATGTACCGAAACAGAAACACAAAAATTAATAAGAATAAGGGCAATGCTCAAAGAAGGAGGACAGAGGCACGTCAGTGAGGAGTGGCATGTTGATCCGATGCGACCAGCGCGCTGCAGCGCATAATAATAATTATGTGTACCGCTTACCCACGGCTGCATGGCCAGCGCCCTGGGGCCGCTAGACGTGCGACCGGATTTCCATGTCCACGACAGTAGTTTGCTCCAGACGGCAGTGGGGAGTCAAACAAGAGTCACTGTCAGTCAGTCGGCAGGAAGTGCGAGCTCGAACTTTCGGAGTAGCCACCTTCTGCTAGAATAATCACCGTAGGTGATAAAGTCACTGCATCTCAGGAATCACAGGCCAAGTTTTGACTCTTCATTTAACGCGGTGTACGTATGCCAACAGTAGCGCGGATCGGTATGGGTTTCAATTTCATTGCTACGATGTCTCAAATGCTCCTCTCGTTTTTCAACTAACTGTAACGGCACGCTCAAACCCTGTAGGCTGTACGGAGACCTTTATTTGAGCGTGGCATGATAACATCCACCGTTCTACAAGTTATCATCAAGTGTTTTCCTTCATTTTGATTATTATTATTTTCCTCTGGTTGCATGTGCGACTGTATTTACAGTTGAGTCAAGTTGTTTTAGTCCCCTGATCCCCTGATCCCCTGATCCCCTGATCCCCCGATCCCCTGATCCCATGGTCTCTGGTTGTAGTCCCCTGATCCCATAGTTTCTGGTTGTAGTCCCCTGATCCCATAGTCTCTGGTTGTAGTCCCCTGATCCCATAGTTTCTGGTTGTAGTCCCCTGATCCCATAGTCTCTGGTTGTAGTCCCCTGATCCCATAGTTTCTGGTTGTAGTCCCCTGATCCCATAGTCTCTGGTTGTAGTCCCCTGATCCCATAGTCTCTGTTTGTAGTCCCCTGATCCCATAGTCTCTGGTTGTAGTCCCCTGATCCCATAGTTTCTGGTTGTAGTCCCCTGATCCCATAGTTTCTGGTTGTAGTCCCCTGATCCCATAGTTTCTGGTTGTAGTCCCCTGATCCCATAGTCTCTGTTTGTAGTCCCCTGATCCCATAGTCTCTGGTTGTAGTCCCCTGATCCCATAGTTTCTGGTTGTAGTCCCCTGATCCCATAGTCTCTGGTTGTAGTCCCCTGATCCCATAGTCTCTGTTTGTAGTCCCCTGATCCCATAGTCTCTGGTTGTAGTCCCCTGATCCCATAGTTTCTGGTTGTAGTCCCCTGATCCCATAGTTTCTGGTTGTAGTCCCCTGATCCCATAGTCTCTGGTTGTAGTCCCCTGATCCCATAGTTTCTGGTTGTAGTCCCCTGATCCCATAGTCTCTGGTTGTAGTCCCCTGATCCCATAGTTTCTGGTTGTAGTCCCCTGATCCCATAGTCTCTGGTTGTAGTCCCCTGATCCCATAGTCTCTGTTTGTAGTCCCCTGATCCCATAGTCTCTGGTTGTAGTCCCCTGATCCCATAGTTTCTGGTTGTAGTCCCCTGATCCCATAGTTTCTGGTTGTAGTCCCCTGATCCCATAGTTTCTGGTTGTAGTCCCCTGATCCCATAGTCTCTGTTTGTAGTCCCCTGATCCCATAGTCTCTGGTTGTAGTCCCCTGATCCCATAGTTTCTGGTTGTAGTCCCCTGATCCCATAGTCTCTGGTTGTAGTCCCCTGATCCCATAGTCTCTGTTTGTAGTCCCCTGATCCCATAGTCTCTGGTTGTAGTCCCCTGATCCCATAGTTTCTGGTTGTAGTCCCCTGATCCCATAGTTTCTGGTTGTAGTCCCCTGATCCCATAGTTTCTGGTTGTAGTCCCCTGATCCCATAGTCTCTGTTTGTAGTCCCCTGATCCCATAGTCTCTGGTTGTAGTCCCCTGATCCCATAGTTTCTGGTTGTAGTCCCCTGATCACATAGTTTCTGTTGTAGTCCCCTGATCCCATAGTCTCTGGTTGTTTCTGACGTCTGTCAAACTCATTGCCGCATACATGTACATGTAGGTGTACATTTACATGTACATGTATTGTACTAGCCGACACTGTGTCTGCATTCTGTCCTTTGTTGCTTACCATCAGCACACCCTGCCTCCAGTCACGCCCTGCAGCAACTTAAAGATACGGTTGTGCGTCTCCAGAAGAACGTGAAAGTGCTCCAGGAAAGAACGAAGGTGAGTTTGGAAAAGCTAGAGTAGACGATCCCAATAACATCCAGGCAGGTGTTCGTTTCTAAGAGTTTCGTAATAATCATGTTCGGTCATTGGAGAAAGCGAACTTTTCCTTCTGTTAATCAAGTATATCCTGAAACTATGAAGAATATAGCGTTGTTTAAATCTGCTAATTCACCTTAGAACCTTCCAAGTTGGAAGGCTGTTGGAGTGCGCATCTAACGGTAGCCAGTTAGTTGTAGAACGTCGGTCCGTGTCGTGCAATGTGATGGCATGAGCTGATTGTTTAGTAACTGGTGGTGTTAAAGGACATTATCGCGTAACTTTTAGTTCCTTGGTCCTTTTTCTTTTCTATAATTCTTCTGTCCAGAAAGGTACACACTTTTCAGGTTACCTTATCGCTTCTGGTGTTTCTCTTTCCTGTTTCCACTTTGGTGCATTCCAGTATCATGGCACAGGTTGTAATCTTCGAACTCTTGGATACAAGTATCAGAGTCGGCACTCTATCAACAATGACCTGGATGAAGGACAGATTGCATCAGTGACGTTCAGGAAGAAGTATGCCAACACCGTACTGAAGTTGTCCTATTCTGGAAATATACGCACATTAGTGGCACACCAAACTGCACGTTGGTACTTCAAGATCGACAATAGGGAGTGTGAAAGACCCACTAAGATTGATATAGTTTTGCGCCAGGGTGCCCTCCTTAACACCCACGTGCCATCCTTACTAACCGGTATCTGTGAGTCGACTAACAGTAAAGGAACTAACATTGCAGTTGGAGATCACACGATTACTGTTCATGTTGGAAGAGCTCTGGGCCATGGCAATGCTAACCCATACACAGGTTTGACATCCACCTCCATTCTCGAGATTCAAGAAATGTGTCCACAATTTTAACATCCTACCGTAACGTAAGCACGTTGGCAAAAAGGCACAATTAGTTACACAGTATGAGAGCTGTGCTGGGGCACGCTGGTTTCTATGCCACCACTTCTGTTTCTTTCTGTACAGCATGCGTAGGGAGCCACCAACACATTTCACGTTTTAGCACAACTTGTAATTCTCCTTATCCACCTCTTTTATTCTTGTAAAGAACTTAGAAGCTCCATTTTAGACTAGTCGACGTTGCAGAAAACCTCACTGCGCAGTCGAGTCCAGTCCTTGCCTACGGCAGTGCGCATAGAATTCCTCCAAACGTTCACCAATGTGGGTATCGTCACTTTCTTCCCTAACACCTTTGCCTTTTCACATTGTATGGTTATGCTATGATTACCACCCCAAATGCTATGATTACCACACCAAATTTTTCAGTACTTGGATTGTGTTCTACTCCTCCAGGAATTGTAAATTGTGTTTTGTTTTCCCGTAAAAACAGGTTCTGTTTTTTCTTTTCCTAAGTTGATCCGGTATCAACCGGGAATTGCACACTATGTGGCAGTGTCACACTTGTAGCGATTCTCAAACCCCTCAAGCTTTTTTTTTACTAGAGCCACGTAAACCCGTCATGTGTGAGCCATGAATAAGGGGAGTGGTGGCGTGGTCTGGGATGCTCTGCCGACCTTGGGTCTCGGCTTCATCACAACCAGGCGCGCCAATAGCAGAGAGAGAAAGAGAGGCAGAGAGACAGAGACATAGACAGAGAGAGAGATAGAGAGAGAGAGAGAGGAGAGAGAGAGGAAATGGTAATTCTCTTGTGGCATAGCTCAGATGGTCAGAGCATGGCTCCAGACAAGCTAGGTTCCATGTGACAGTTCTGGCGGGGTTGGAATTAAATGTCTCTTTTCAGATCAGTGCACTCTTGGGGTCTTGGTCATCACACATCTACCTCCTACCTCAAAAGTAAAGTCAGTAAGTGCGGGACGTAGGTAAAAAAGGAGTTCAGGTTCCGATACAACTGGTTTGCAGATCTAACTAGAGTTGCTGCTAGATTTCTCGCCTTTCTCTCTCCCCTCTCTATTTCTCGCCTTTCTCTCTCCCCTCTCTATTTCTCGCCTTTCTCTCTCCCCTCTCTATACCTCGCCGTTCTCTCTCCCCTCTCTATTTCTTTCTCTTTCTATCTTCTTTCCTGTTAGATTTCTGTCTCCATTTAGCGGTCTATTTCTGTCTCCATCTACTTTTCGTACTACTCTCTCAGACCCCTTTCGAACTGGACAAGTTCCATGCCACACAGTGGTTCAATATTTTGGTGCTTGGTGACAGAGCCTGTGGTCGGCTAGGTCTTTTTGTGTACACCGCTGACAGAGAGGAGCAATGTCATTTTCTCCTGTCGCCAGGGAATTTGCCCATTTATTGTATCATGATTAGCTGTTGACAGACGAGAGCCTCAACTCGTCGAATACCCATGTCAAGATCTCAACCACAATGGCTGTCCACAGTGGCAACAATACAAGCCACCTCGATCTCCCCTATCCCACTTCGACAAGGCACTGGGTCTCGAAATGGTCCATGTATTTTCTGTCTATCAAGGCATTCAGAGTAAGTACTTCAACTTTCCCAGACGATTGGGCGCTAGTATTCGAGTCAGAAGTGTGATAGAACGAGTAGCCCATTTTCTGGAACGATTGCCAGGGCCGAGGTCATTTCTTTGTTGAGAACATTCATTCCCAGTTTCTTGCCGCATCATGGCCAAGTTGGCTATGAAATTCATCTTGCTCATCAGTGTGCTTGTCCTGTGCTGTGGCTGCAATGTTGAAGGTACGTATTACTTGTGTGCATGACTATAACGAAAGGTCAAAGACTACTATCATGTACATAATTTACATTTATGCTAGTTGAGGGTAAACCACGATGAAGCGACTCCCCGCTGTAAGGATAAGGCTGGTAAATGCACGTGCTGAAAACCTGCTTCCCCTTTCAGCTTGTAACGCGGCTAAAATACACGTGAAAGTAATTTTTTAACGTGTTCTGTCTCCTTGATTGACTACCGGTAAAATACTGGACAGATTTAACTACTACATCATTAGTAGCACTCGAAGCATTTGGTATAATTATGCTCAGCAAAGCTACAGCATTTCTGCAGGCAAGCCGCTAGATGTGCGAACTGTTTAGGGAAATTCCCCCTTGCGCAGAAAGATTACAAGATGTAGTCGGTTGATAAACATACATAGCAACCTCATAATGTACATGTAACTACTTTGGAACGTCGTCTGATCAGAGGCAGCTGTTCTCTGAACTGCACTGACTGCCATACTTCCTCTGGTTTTGCTCGCGATCATACGCGATGGGTTCATGAATCCTGAATCATGATGTACAGTGTACAATGATTATGTCATGTAGATTTACATGACTTGTTTTGACTTGTTTTGCATATGTTGCTCCGGAAGTTCCTTACAAGGCGTATAGTAGTAGATCTATAATTATTATTATCCCTGGTAACAGAAACCAGACAGCGGATGGTGGTCCATGCTGTTGCTGTTTTGTGAGAACACAAACTACCGTTACTAGTGTGTACTTCACTTGCCCACTCAAGACCTGCTTCGTACATCTACTCGTGCTGGGCTCCTGGTTACGTACAGCCTTGTGACAGGCAGCTGAGAAACCTGGCACGTTCGCAAAGTCGCTGACGCTCCGACCTGCACAGGATGGCATTAATTTTGTGAGTCATGTCAGTGCGTTGTCAATTATAATTATTAATAAAATCATTCCAGGACATGTAGCAGCACCAGCGTAGCTTCCTTTACACTTTACTTGTCATTGCTGCATCGTACAGGTACTGGTGATAGCTGTATGGTGAGGAGAATGCTGAAGGCTGGTGTTGCACAGCGCAAAGCACTGCAGTACGAGCAACGTGCTCTCTTGGCTACGATGTCGGAGGCCAATGTTGCTGATACACCCGTCAGTGTGCTGGAGTTTGTGTTCCAATCATCAAGAGCTGAAGCTAGTTCCATTCAACACTGCATATGTAAGTGAAAACCCTACAGTTATACATACCCTTTTCAGAATTACACGTAGGCAACTAGGTAAAACATTGATTATCATGTACACGCAGCTTGGTTATTGGACACGCAGTCTGCTTGGTCTGGCCATTCAAGTAGATAACTCACCAAGATTGCGACACAGGTGATGATCACTAACACGAGCATGGTAAAATTATCAAAAAAATAATTCTAGAGAAAACCTGGCACCGCATTCTCGGGCAGTAAGACCAGAACTCTTCGGATGATGAATATCAAAACTGTGTTTGTCTTATTGTGCATCATGTGTTCTTTACGTGTTTGCAGTACAAACATCTGAAGTTTGCAAGACCTTCTCCCCCTGTCTCAATGGTGGTCAGTGTCAGTTGTCGCTGTCCAATACGTCATACGTATGCAAGTGTCATCCTGACTTCACTGGGGACTATTGTCAGACACGTAAGTCCAAATTACTCTTTCATGGCAAGACTGTTTTAATTTACAAATTAGTGCGGCATAAGATGAGAAAACCTGGAAATTTTCACATTGTTACATTCTTTGTTGGAGTGTGTAATGACCTCACTGCTACGTGATAATGTCGTATAAGTATGAGCAAGAAAAACACATTCTTTCTCCTTGGTTCAACTTGCCAAGCTGAACCATGACCTGCGTGTGCAAAGGAAAGAGATGTTTTCAAAAGCCTTTCCCTTTTTTTGAAAATGTAGTGCTGCAATTCATGTTATTGCAGGATGTTATGTCACCGTTTCACGTTTTAGTTCCGTTGTGTACGCTGTTACAACGCTCCCGTTTCGTTTCAAAATGATCAAAGTTCAGTTGTATTTTGCGCTCATTTCGAGTTGATCTCCAGTTCCAAGGTGTCCATAAGTTGTGCAACGAGCCCTTTTGCATGGTTGTTTTAGCCCCAAAGGAAACCAACCTCCAGAATTTGAGCGAAGTCGGAGAGATGGCCCAGCCAAGCTTTTCTGGTTTTCTCAGACATGCTCGCAGCTCCATAATTGATCAGTTTCATCCATTCATTCATTCATTCATTCAATTTTAAAGCTGTTATGTAATTCCCACTTTTGAGCAGCTCACCCAGCTCCATTGGACGAGTTCAGAAGTCTACAGGACAACGTAACCAAGCTGGAGAAGCTGCTGCAAGACAGAACATTACAGGACAAAGTAACAAAGCTGGAGAAGCTGCTGCAGGACAGAACACAGGTAAGACAACGAGGCAACTATCCCCATAAAGAAATTCCCACTGCTGTAATTTAAGACGAGAGAGCTTGGAAGCTCAGGGCCCTATGCTATGCTTTTTTGTCTTGATGACCTAGACAAAAAAAAAGCATAGGGATGTTATAAATTCCTTTTTTTAAGACATAACCTGGGATTCGAACCCGCACTATCGCGCGCCCTGCATGCATCCCCCGATACACTTCGCATACATACTAATTCTTCCAAGTTGTTTCACATTGTGATCTTGCATTTGAAAGCCCTATTTGAATATGCATTCAAACGACCCACGTGCCCTTTGCTAGGTTACGACCAATCAGCAGCCTCGTAGAGCGGGCTTTGATATTCCATCAAAGCCCGCTGTCATTGACAACCTGTACGAGAAAACCATCAAAGCCCGCTGCCATTGGCAACTGTACGACAAAACCATCAAAGCCCTGATCATGCCCAATCTCAGTCTTTTCAAGGTGATCTGGCTATAAGAACAAGAAACCGATAGGGGTGGTGGTCGGGGATGCGGTGGCTCTCAACTTGTGGAGTTGGAAATCTAGCTCCAGCACCGCAGAACTCTCAGCAGTAGGCAGCGTGAGCAAGGCGTGTATGGTGGAAGTGAAAATACTTCCGTGACTCTTCAGCCACGTCTGGCTCTTGACACGGAGTCCTGAGAAATTTCTCAACTTGTGGAGTTGGGAATCTAGCTCCAGCACCGCAGAGCTCTCAGCAGTATGCAGCGTGAGCAAGGCGTGTATGGTGGATGTGAAAATACTTCCGTGACTCTTCAGCCACGTCTGGCTCTTGACACGGAGTACTGAGAAATTTCTCACGAAACAGGTTTTACATTACTTTCCCTTTGCTGTAATCTCTGTGTGAAACTTACGAACGGGACAAAAACGACATGCACTTTAGACTTCAGGCTGCTCTGAAATCCCAAACGAAAGGCCGACATTGTCCACACTCGAGATCACCCAAAGAATGAAGCGAGTTTGATTCTAAATCAAAAAAAATGTTGGGGATCGTCTGAAGCATATTCAAGCGAGGTACAGTCGGGCTTGATGACTGATCAAAGCCCTCGGGCCCAGCCCTTGGGCCTACGGCCCTCGGGCTGGACCCTTGGGCTTTGATCAGCCATCAAGCCCTCTGTACCTCGCTTGATTATCTACTTGTGGCCAGCCGTCCTGTATGGTACGGTACGGTAGGGGATAGGTACGATCGAGGGTAATACGACACCGTCTCTCGTACCGTACCGTACCATCAAACACAGCTGGCTACATACAGCTGCCCGCAATATTCAAATAGGGCTTTCAAACGCAAGATAATAACGTAAAGCAACTTGGAAGAATGGGTATGAATGCGAAGTGTATGGGAGAATGCATGTAGGGCGATAGTGCGGGTTCGAATCCCAGGATATGCCTTAAAATAAAAGGAGAATTGAAAAATTTATAACATCCTATGCTTTTTTGCCGCCAGATACGGATAGCGCCAGGCGTGACACAAACAAACAAACACACAAACAAATACCAAATTTAAGCTGTGTGGACCCTGGCCCGTTACTGAAGTAACGTCTTCTGCATAGCTACGGGAATAAACAGTCACTAGTAGAGGCTCACACCACAGCTACCAAAATAAATGAAAAAGAAGTAGGACACCGGTACAGGTATAGAGAAGGGGAAACTTGAACAAAGCGTTGCTGCTGTTCCTCGCAGTTCAACTCGTTGAATTTCTGTTCCGAGAGCACTGCATTATGTAGGGCTATCCGAGCCAAAACATCACGAGGGATACCAACTTAAAGTGAAGCTCCGCATCCAGCGCGACGAACACCTCGTCAGTACCAGGCAGCAGAGTGAGTCGTTCGTATCCTCTTCATCATTCTCAACGCCATCATTATCGCGAGCAGAATCCCCATTATTCTCAGTGGTAGATTGCCCAAGTGTCCAAAGAGTTAAAAGAAAACATTGGCACAGTGTACTTGTAGTAAAGTGGAGTAATTCTTGTTGGCAAAAGATCTTCTTCTGAACTGTTCCAAACCCAGTTTCTTGTGTCAAAGTGGTCGGCTCTTGGACCTAGCTTCAAGTCGGGTTCGTCAACACTGCTCCAGCGACGTGTTTTGTTCCATCCAGAGGGAATAGGGGGGTGCAGCAGCAACAACAACACTGCCAGCAACAACAACAACAACAACAACAACAACAACAACAACAACAACAACAACAACAACAACAACAACAACAACAACAACAACAACAACAACAACAACAACAACAACAACAACAACAACAACAACAACAACAACAACAACAACCACAACCACAACAACAACAACAACAACAACAACAACAGCAACAACAACAACAACAACAACAACAACAACAACAACAACAACAACTTTAGCTTTTTAGTTTTAGCTTTGCCCGCTACTTTTCAGCGAAATGCAGCCTTGGTGATGACCTTGATGCCAGCAACCTCCCGTATGTACGCCCGCGATCTGATGCTTGTCTGAGTACCATCCACTTTAGGTCACGAACCGTATGCCGTGAACTGAGGAAGATTGTCCCGTCCAAAGCCACTGGCTCGGATGGTGTACCAGGACGATTGTTGAAGCAGTGCTGTGAGGAATTGTGCAGGCCTGTGGCCCAGCTCTTCAGCAAAGCATTCCGCCAAGGCCGGCAACCGTCACTGTGGAAGCTTGCCTCAGTTGTACCTGTGCACAAGAAGGGTTCGAAGTCCGCAACAAAGAACTACCGACCCATATCCCTGCTGCCAATACTGTCAAAGGTCATGGAAGCTATCATCAATCGTAGCCTAATGGGATTCCTTGAGCGGCGGCACATCCTCACCACTAACCAGTACGGCTTCCGCTCCGGCCTGGGAATGCAGGACCTCCTTACCCTACTACACCATCGTTGGAGGACCGTGGCTGCAGGGGGCGGAGCTGTGCGGGTTGTTGCTGTGGATATTGCTGGAGCGTTCGATCGAGTCTCCCACCCAGGTGTGATCCACAAAGCCCAGCAGTACGGTGTATCCGGCATGCTCCTTGCATGGTTGAGGGACTACCTGCTGGACAGGCGCCTGAGTGTTGTCGTTTGGTGGGCAGTTGTCCAGCCCACACCGCATCACAGCCGGTGTTCTGCAAGGTAGCTTGTTGGGACCGACACTGTTCCTCGTCTACACGAACGATGCCGATGACCACCTTCCACCGGGTGTAGATCTGGCCGCTTATGCCGACGACACAACGCTGTTTCAGTGCCTGTCCACCATGGATACCATTGACCACAGCTCGACAATCCTGCAAAATGCTCTCGATGCCCTTGTGAATCGGGGCACCAGCTGGAGAATTGCGTTCGAGCCAGCCAAGTCCCAGGCCATGACTATTGACCATCACCGCCCTGCCTGGGACCTCCCAGCAGTACAGTTTGCGGGTGTCCCCCTGAATGGAGAGAGTAACCTCAAGCTTCTTGGGGTAACCTTGGACAGCCAACTTTCCCACCGCAACCACCTCCGTACCATCGCCATCAGAGCACGCCAGCGTCTCGGGCTCCTGCGGAAGGCCTCGCCGCTCCTGGATTCTCGCAGCCGAGCTACAGTGTACCGTGGGTTTGTACGCCCAGTAATGGAGTACTGCCCATTGGTCTGGATGGGCGCAGCAGATTGTCACTTGCAGCGACTTGACCAGACGCAGCGCTCAGCCCTCCACTTGATTGGCCCCGGCGCAATGCTGCAAAGCCTGTCTATCCGGCGCATGGTAGCTGCGTGTACCTACATTTACAAGCTACTGTGCTCGAATCCTACCAGCCCACTTCGTCAGCTCTTGCCTCCCTCTCAAGCCACCCGACCAGCCCATGTTCGACCCACTCGTCTCTCTCTCGTCCGTCTCGACATGCATAACTACCAGCTTGAGACAGGGCTACCTGTCAATAGCCGGGAAAGTTGCCGTAGAGCTTTCCCCGCCTGTGCTGTCCCTGTATGGAATGCCCTGCCACCCGCCTTCCTCAGCCAGCCACCTGACCGGAAACGGCTGCAAAGTTTCAAAGTGTCTGTCTTCTGGCACCTCCGTGCCCAGCAATGGCACTGGGCCACTGACACTTTGTAAGATGTATGCACATCTGCCCACACACTGCTGCATATTGCCATACGCCTCGTGCCCTGCTTACTCTTTTCCTCTGGATCTGAATGTGCACCCCTTACGCATTATATAATTATACTTTATTTAGTTCTCTCCCCCTCTCTTGCCCCCAACCCTCCCCGCTCGCGCTCTCTCTCTCTCCCCCCCCCCCCTCTCTCTCTCTCTCTCTCTCTCTCTCTCTTCTCTCTCTCTCTCTCTCTCTCTCATTTTTTTAAATACTTTTTAGTTCTCTTATTTACTGAAGTAGTTCTCTTGCTCCCCAACCCTCCCCGCTGTCTCTCTCTCTCTCTCTCTCTCTCTCTCTCTCTCTCTCTCTCTCTCTCTCTCTCTCTCTCTCTCTCTCTCCTCGCTCTCTCTCCTCTCTCTCTCTCCTCTCTCTCTCTCTCTCTCTCTCTCCTCTCTCTCTCTCTCTCTCTCTCTCTCTCTCTCTCTCTCTCTCTCTCTCTCTCTCTCTCTCTCTCTCTCTCTCTCCTCTCTCTCTCTCTCACTCTCTCTCTTTCTCTATCTCTCTCTCTCTCTCTCTCTCTCTCTCTCTCTCTCTCTCTCTCTCTCTCTCTCTCTCTCTCTTTCTATCTCTCTCTTTCTGTCTAAGTTTCTCTCTCTTTCTCTCTCTGCTATTGGCGCGCCTGGTTGTGATGAAGCCGAGACCCAAGGTCGGCAGAGCATCCCAGACCACACCACCACTCCCCTTATTCATGGCTCACACATGACGGGTTTACGTGGCTCTAGTAAAAAAAACAAAAAAACAACAACAACAACAACAAATACAACAACAACAACAACAAATACAACAACAACAACAACAACAACAACAACAACAACAACAACAACAACAACAACAACAACAACAACAACAACAACAACAACAACAACAACAACAACAACAACAACAACAACAACAACAACAACAACAAACAAGCTCGAGTGTTGCGAAAGCCCAACCTTCTTGTTATTCCAACCACGGTTAAAGGTTTATATTTTGATGAGATACATGTATGAGGTGTCTTTAGTACAACGGTGATTCCTGAAGAGTATTGTACGAAAACGTGTTCCAAAAATCTTTTCTCCATCAATTTGATGTCCCTCATATATTTCTTCTTTCCTTTTAGATTGTTTTCGCATCGTCTCCATCGCTTGGCATTGTTAAATCGGTGCAATGTCACTTCAGCTCGCCCTCCTTGTTGCGATATTAAAATTTCGTCAGTACTTCGAAGTACATGTATGATGGAAAACATATGTACTAATACTGATGATGTTCAGATACTCTCAGGTGAACTTATTGCATCAGCAATTTTGTATTTCCTTTTTCGCTTTTGGTGCATTTCAGTATCTGGGCACAGGCTGTAATCTTCGAACTCTTGGATATAAGTATCAGAGTCGGCACTCTATCAACAATGACATGGATGAAGGACTGATTGCATCCGTGACGTTTAGGAAGAAGTATGCCAACACTGTACTGAAGTTATCCTATTCTGGCGATATACGTGTACTTGTATCAGGCGGTGATGCACGTTGGCACTTCAAGATCGACGGCCAGGAATGTGCCAGACCCAGTAAGATTGATATCGTCATGTACCAAAGTTCCAGCGGTGGTATCCACGTCCCGTCTTTACTGACCGGCGTATGTGAGTCGACTGCCAGCAATGGAGCCAACCTAGCAGCTGGACATCACACGATTGCTGTGCATGTTGGCAGAATTCCGGGTCGTGGCAATGGAAATCCATACACAGGTTGGCTGTCCATGTCCATTCTCGAGATTCAAGAAATGTGTCCACAATTTTAGTATCTGATGTTAATTAAAACGGAAGGGTGCTTTGGAAAAAAGCACGATTAGCAGTACGATAATTATGAAATCAGCGGTAAAACCATTATCATACTCAAGCATACAGTCGTGTTGATTTCATAATAATATTATCATACTGCTAATCGTGCTTTTTTTCCATAGCATTCTTCCGTTTTAATCAACATCAGACACTAAAACGGCTGTATGCTTGGGTATGATAATGGTTATGCTGCTGATTTTGTTTCTACTTTGTGCGATGTACGTTTTATCTTGAGCATTTCGACATTCAGAAAGTGGTGGACATTACGCAACTGCATTGCAAATAAAAGGAGGTTTGTCAACTGACAACCGCTCTTTTCAGTTGCTATTCGCTCGGCGCATGCGCTGGATGAAAATTCTTTTATCAGTGATGTCGAAAAAATTATTGACGTTTCGGGCCAGTCACCCATCGTCAGAACGATACATTACGACCGTCGATACAATTATTGGACATGTCATAATAGTTTTCTCTTCTTTTGTTTTGTTGTCTGTTTCTTCATCTTTCCAGTGAAAACTACTTGATTTTCTTGCCACTTCTACTTCAAAGTAGAACATTCGTTTAGCTGTACTTCGAAGTATTATACTTCATGCTTGCCTCCCCCTTCCTCATCATTGCCCTGATGATGCCCAATGGTCGAAATGTTAGCAGAAGGCTATTTTGTGCAACTGAGAGCCTGTTCGGGGAATGGACGTGTTTACGAGATGTACATTTGTGCACAACGTAATCTTCACCTTTCACTAAACTTCAATTTGAAAAACTTTGAAATTCCATCTATTGCAGCTGTGTCATACTGAAGTACATGTGCAGTACATGTATATGTACAAGTACTTTCAAATATTACACAGCAATGAATCAAATAAGTCCCTTTCCGCTGTTACTCCGAGTTTCGTGTGAAAGTCTTCATCAGACAGCATAAGCAGCCTAGGGACTTTAGTTTAGACAACTGCCTACATGTACATGTACATGTACATGTAGATCACAACAATGTCATGATCTAAGACTAAGAGGCTCTTGTCAGTCACCGTAAAGTCGACGTAATTTCGTAAAGTCCGATTACGGTAGGTCTGTTCATGCTGAGCGATCCAGTGGCCCGCGAGGAGGCACTGACAGTGTATTCTCAAGGAATCATTGAAGACGTCCGGCGGGGTGCGAACCGGCAACGACTACGACGCTTGGTTGATATACAATTATGTGTACATGACTTACTCAACCTGCGGACAGCATGCTGTTTCGTTCTTTGTGAACTCATCAGCGCAGCACAGAGGAAATGAGGCCAAACCTGATAGCAATGAAAATAAAAAAGCATGACTTGTATAGATGGCTTTGTGAAGGATACGACTGAGCTCTGCTGGTGAGACATTACGTTAGCAACACATAGCTGTCAGGAGATCGCGTAAAGTATACCATTAGGCTGTCGAGAAAATAGGACCAGAGGTGTCGCCACACTTCGTCGAGATTTAGTTCACACCGCGATGCTTCATCGCGAGCCATTTCACAACCCCGCCGGTCACAGATGAGGCGATGTATTGCAGGCGCTATTGGAAAACCCCACTGAACACAGTATGGGACGTGTGATCTCTCGAAACAACGACATACCACCATAACACCGGATATAGTTTGTAGTAAAATGAGGTTCCTCCAGAATTGCAATTTTCGTGTTCCACTCATCAGTGGAGGATACGGAACCAAGATAATAATTATGTAAAAGAAGCATTGAGCATTGCACAATTTCGTGCACAACACAATCTTCGCCCAGAAAGCACCCTTCAAGAGAAAGCACCCCAAACCTACACAGGATGCTAGAGACAGACGTACTAGTTAGCCAACGCTTGACTCAACGCAACAAACCGTACAGCCTGGAGCAGGGAGTAATACCATTACACTACATCAAGGTCTGGAGCACAGCGCGTATTGCTAGCTACTGTTCTGCAGTTACCAGGTGAGAAAAAGGCCAAGGGGAAGCACAAGTACAGACAGACATGTGACATGTTACTTTGTAGACCTGATAGTGGATCATGGCCGAACATTTGATTGAGATATTACTATGTATCATTATTAGTGATTTTCAGAGAAGAGACCACTTGATTTGAAGATGGTGTATGTTGGGGTTTTCGGACATGTATTCTCACTAACCAATTACTTCAAAAAGTATATTCATATAATTATTATGTTTTTGGCAGGCAGGCATAGCAGGATGGTCTAAAGACCATGATTGGGAAACAGAAGGTACAGGTTTCAAGTCCTGCTTGGAAGCGGAAGGATTTATTTACAGCCGTGCTGCGACCCACAGTTAATTGGCAACTCGTGGCCTGGCGAGAGGGAAACATGGATGCAGTGAATGGGATTTTCGGTCTTTGACCACTTTCTGGTGAGCTGATCTACTCACCTCCCACCGCTTTAGGAGCTGCATCTGCGCCTTGATCCTTGAAGGGTGGTGGCGTTCCTACGGATGCGGAAAACTCGGTTTCCACTATTTTGTTACTGGTTTGAGGGAAAGACGTAAACGGGAATTTTTTAAATTATGTTGTTGGCCCTAAAGCGGACAGGTCGAGGAACCTAGTAATTCAATAGTGATTCAGCATTACAACCCCCAGGCCAAAAACAGGAGCATACAATGTAATGTAAGACATTTACATGACATCGTACAGTCATGTAAATGTCTGGTTCGAGTCGTGGTGGGTGTTCTTCTGATTTACCCGTATTCCATTCTCTCCACAAGTGAGTAAATGCCTCTTTGGTAATCATTTGATTTCTCCTGCTCTCTGGACTTCCGACTGCTGAGTGAGGAGCTTTAGCAGGGCAATGATGATACTACTACTACTTCCAGTGGAATCGGATTAAAATCCCCTAAGCTAATAATAAATTTATTATTCCTGAAGATGGGCCTGGCCCGAAGATTTGGATATTTATTATTTTTGGAAGAATTTGTAGCCAAGAGACCGTTTTCGAGTACTGGTGTATAACTGTGTGAAACATGAATTGGCTACAGTGGAGTCTGCACACCCTTAGGAAGCTCCGATCCCCTATTCGTATATGACACCTTTGTTGAAAGGCAAATGTCGATGTTCTTGTCTGAGAGACCACAATGCGATAATCTGCATAGACAGCCTAGTCTTTGTGAAATCACCGCTGTCAGTCTGGTGATTTACCCTCTTGTCAATGTGTGTGAACTGTGACGATGACAGCAGTCTGTGCAGCAGTCAAGAGACAAGTGCCCATCACCGATGTCAAGATGTAACCAGAAGTTCAGTTAAGAGACAGTAGTCACACATGCCGCACCATCCCCCTATGACCCTGCTACGAGGCATCACCTAGTCATTTGGATCTACATGTGCAATGCACATGATGTGTACTGTCCATTCGAGCAAAGCCCGTACAGGTGCAAGGCATGGCCTAAAGTCATTATAAAGAAGCCACCCCATACCAGTACCAGCTACATTGTGAATCTGATCTAGGGAGATTGGAGAGAGAGAGAGAGAGAGAGAGAGAGAGAGAGAGAGAGAGAGAGAGCTCGATAGAGAGAAAACAGAGGAAGTGAGAGAGCCAGAGAGAGAGGGAGACAGACAGACAGACAGACAGAGATAGAAATAGAATCAGAGAGCGAGGGGAGAGAGCGTTCGGAAATCGTCCTTGCTACACCACGGCTAAATTCACAATGGGATGTACAACGATTGTTGCTATTCTTCTCCTGACGCACTGGAATTCAGTTACAGGTACGTATGGCCAATTTGCAGTTCGAAAGTCAATTGAGGGTGATTACCTACAATACGTATGCAACAGTGCTTGGCGTGGCTCATGTACTTGCCGTCGATCACGTTACCCGCTGGGAAGGAGGGATTTTGAGAAAAGTGGCAGAGGTGATGGAGGTACAGCATTTCAGTGGTGAGAGGACAAAGGATGTGGCAAACATCAGCTGGATTAGAAAAAAATAATACATTACATTTCGACGGGTGAAAAGTACGGTGCATATGCATGTACATTGAAACCTGTCTAACACGACCACTCAAGGGACCTTCAAAACGTGGTCTCTATTACCAGGTGGTCTCCTTATCCAGGGTCGTTTGACTGGAAATAGCATCCCTTGGTCCTGATTGCAGTGGTCTTTTGGGGCAGGTGGTCGCCTTATCCGAGTGGTCGCCTTGACAGGTTTTACTGTACAATGTACATGTAGTAGAGGAATCGTGCGATGCTAGCACATACGCCATTGCCTGGTAACACAGATATGTGCTGCATTATGACATGCACATGCCATGTGTCGGGAGAAAAGTGCAATGACCAGGATCGTGTAGACAGTATACATGAACATGTAGAAGAAATTTCCGACGTTCAAGACCAAGGCTTACCATCACCTCCGCCAGACCAATTGGCTATGGGCCACTGACGTCCACCAGCACTGAGAATTACCGGTTGTCTCTATTATTATCATTCTCTGTTTCTCTGTTTCTCTCTCTCTCTCTCACTCTTCCTCTCCTCGGAAGCTCCTCATGCTCATTCTCCCTTTCTCTGTCCATTTCCCCTTCCTGATGCGTAGACCAACTGATGAACCCGAGACCACTACTAGGTCGGGGAAGTTTGACCTACCTCATCGGCACCCATGCCAGGCTCCTCTGTGTTATCAATGTTTGCTTGTCCAATTATTTTGTCTACCTCCGGGCCCAGGGCCTGCTCTAGACATTCAACACAGCCCGGTCAGAGTGTACCTGGCGCATGCAGGCCAGCCGGGTCAAGCCGGGTCAGATCATCCGGCAGAAAAACAACCTAAAAGCCTGCTCAAAACGCAGGAAAACAGAAAGGCGAATTTATTACCCGAAATCGGAAATTGTAGAGAACAAGGCGAACTATCAAAGTCCGCAAACCTAGAAGGTAAACGACTTTACGTGAAGAATGCAAAGCAGTTCCATTGGATTCTGATTTAACAATTTGAAAAAAAGGAATTCTGTTTTCTAATTAGTGCTAGTACATGTAGCAGGACGAACATGTTCACATAATAGAGCACTGGGGGGGGGGGGGGGGGGGGGGTGCCTGCAGCAGCACCTTTGTGGAGTGGCTGCTTGCTGCCACTGCATCACCTGCATGGCCAAGCCGACTGGCATCTGCTGCTGAAAGGCTTTAGTAGATTGGAGAACTGGTGGAGTTGCAACTGCTGCTGCTGCTGCTGGCGCTGCTGCTGCTGGCGCTGGCGCTGCTGCTGCTGCTGCCGCTGCTGCTGCAGCTGCTGCTGGCGCTGCTGTTGCTGGTGGCGCTGTTGCTGCTGCTGGCGTTGCTGCTGCCGCTGCTGTTCTGGGTGCGCGGGCCAGGTCGCTCCGTTCAGACGAGGTTGACGTTGCAGTCGTAGTGCGCCGAGTCATCTCAGAATGCCATGCAGCCATAGCCTTGTCGTAGTTGAAGTCGGCGACGGCAGGAACGTCGAGCATGATCGCCATGATCATCTCCAGATTCCTCGTCCACAGCGAGTTCCGCATCACCGTCTTCACAAGCTTCAGCCAGGGTCGACCTTTCTTCCAAGAGTCTTGGAAAGCGTGCGTTCTTATTCTCTTCGCTGCGGTCTCCATCGTCCAAATCACCAGTCGGCTGAAAACTATTACTTGCAACTATAGCCAAAGTTACGCTTTTGACTGCCTGCCCCATCGACTTTGAATGTCCTGGCTTCCTGCTCGCCGCTGGCCGGATCGCGCTCGAACCAGTTGACCCCAGTTGACCCTAGCCGAGTTTCTGTCGCTTGCAGACTGTAGATCTACATGTAGTGTGTACGGTTGCGCTAGATTTGCAACAGATGGGGTCCGCGAGTCGTAAAATATCGGAATTTTAGGAATCCATTGTCAGTTTGAGACATTTTTCAGCCGGGTCAGACTGGACCTGGTGTTATCTGTTCAGCCAGGTCGTGCAGTTCCCCAGCCGGGCGCGTGACCCGGCTGACCCGGCTCTCCAGCATGCAGGCCCTGCTCCCCTTTAATGTTGCTGGCCAGTGCTTTGTAGTAAAAAGAAAAAAGAAGAAAAAAAGTTAGCCAACAATGTCAAGCCAATGCATCATTCCCTCCACACTTCAGTACTCTATTTCACACGTGATCACCGTGTCACGTTTGTCCTGACTGTACAGGTACTGGTGATAGCTGCATGGTGAGGAGAATGCTGAAGGCTGGTATTGCACAGAGCAAAGCACTGCAGTACGAGCAACGTGCTCTATTGGCTACGATGTCGGAGGATGTGATAAGTAGCGCTAACGTCGGTCTTCTGAAGTTCGTCTTGCAGTCTACGAGACCTGACGCTCATGCAATTCAAAAATGTATACGTGAGTTATTGTTGTATTGATTTGTGGGAAGCGTATTATATATTGCGTGTAAATGTTCGGGCCTGGTTTAAATCTTGCTTTGGAAAATATATTTTTCATTGCTATCAGGTTCGGCCTCATTTTCTCTGTGCTCCGCTGATGGAATTATAGTTGTATTCATTGGTTTGAGTGAAAGACACAAAGGGGAAAAGTCTGAAGAAAAAATGACTCTTACCTCCAGAATTACATTGTACGTGTATGTGGAATTATTGGCAAAATAAAGATGATGTCATTTCCACTTGTCCAGGATCACAGTCATACATTGTACACATAACTCCACGTGTTCGTGTGAGCCAGATGATAGCTCATACAATATCCTAGTCCTGCTCTGAAGTCAGTTTTCACGTCTCTGATCCGTTCCTGACAGTTCAACAGTCCGATGTTTGCAAGACCTACTCACCCTGTCTCAATGGTGGTCAGTGTCAGTTGTCGCTGTCCAATACGTCATACGTATGCAAGTGTCATCCTGACTTTACTGGGGACTATTGTCAGACACGTAAGTCCAAATCACTCTTTTTTGTACATACATGTACATGTACCGTAAAGTACCGCCAGAGCGCCCCGTCTCGCGAGAGCGCCCCACCTTGATTTTACAGCCAAGGGAAGAAAATCGTATGGCAGAATGCTACTAAGTTTGTACGGTGTGAGAACCTTCGTGTACTAAGGTCACACTTGGTATGCTTTTATGTGGAGCTTGCATCCGCTTGAAGTTGTTGTTGTTTGGCTTTATTTAGATTGGAGTTCCAAAACAGGCCTAAATCTAATGACAATGGTCCCACTGAAGGTAAACTGGATACGGATTGACTGCAATGTGTGTACAAGGTCCTTGTCGTATGACCTACAGACAGGAATCACCTCCACAAGACGACCACGAGAGGACGAGATGGTTGGGCGCTCTGGCGGTACTTTACGGCACATGTACATGTATACCAGGCTAATAGAACTCAACTTTCCACTTGCTCCTTAAATTTAAGGGCCTGTCCAGACTAGGTAGAAGTTAGAAAACCATGTAAACACGCCGTAAACATGCTTGTTGCTACTACATGTACAGTGTAAGATAACCTAACACTGGTTAAAAACCAGTATTAGATAAACCTTTTTATAGTTCACGCAATTGTTAGACCACCTTGTTTCATGCTGTCAATCTAACAATTGCATGTACATACATGTACATGTACATTGTACGTGAATATGTAATGTTACACGTACATGTAACTAATTACTTTACAATCATGTTCATGTACATGTATTCACGTGTACGTGTTTTTGTGGCGGATATCGAATCGCTAACCGTTACGACAATGTGGCGATACGTTTGTTAGTCGGTAGCCTTTCCGTTCTGCTCCATCTGAGTAGCGGCTCCCAACATCACTAGTCTAGTCTCCTTTGCACTTTTCAATCTGATTTTGGTGCACGCCAGTTATTCAGTTTTGCGAAACGAATCTGAATGGAGAAATCGAAGACAAAAAGTCTTCGCGCCTTTCAACACAAGCCACGGCTGGTCTTGGCTATTGTTGGTATGACGTTTTCTCTCTCCAGCACTGATCTGCCGAGATCAGATTGAAGTTCGTAGTTTTTAACAATATACATGTACATGTACGGTGAAACCTGTCTAAGACGACCGCTCAAGGGACTTTCAAGTAGGCACCGGCGGATTATGCCGGCAGAAAAATTGGCAGAATTCGGTACTTTTTCTGGTAAATTTCATGCATGTTTGGTATGTGGATAAAGACATGGTGCAGAATTCGAGGAATTGCCCGCCATATTAAAGGTTTGTATGGTTCTGCCATTTTCACTGCTTTTCGAGCAGAATCCGCCGGTCCCTTTGAAATGAAGTCTTGCAATACGTCTTCTGCATTTAACGCCCATCTTGCCTGCCTTCTTAATGACGGGCCACAATGTACCCGGTTAAAACAGCTCCTTTTTGAAAATGTTTTCAATGAGTGATGTGTCGCTTTGTTTTGCTCTAATTGGTGCTTTTCTCCAATGTCATGCAGTCGTATTTATTCAGCTTTTATTTCTTGTGTACTTGCATACTGGTATTAGTTTAGTCCCACGACCTGCGAAAACATGATCAGCTGTAGCACCTACTCCACGTTTTATGTTTATGTATCTATGTCATTCGGATCTTCCCAAGTTGTACATTGTACTGTTGAGATACCGAATTCAAATAAATCAACACCATACCATACCCTAGTCACGGTGGTCTTTTGTTACTGGTTTTACTGTAGTACATTTCTACTCCTTTTCGCTGCAGCACATCCTGCTCCGTTAGATGAGTTCAGGAGTCTGCAGAATGAAGTTAAAGAGCTACGAAAACAACTGGCAGACACTCAAAGCAGAACTCAGGTAAGTGAGTAGGTGATGGAATTTGGTACTCAAACGTTATGTTCACTGTCATGGCTGGCTGCTCAGAGAGAGAGAGAGAGAGAGAGAGAGAGAGAGAGAGAGAGAGAGAGAGAGAGAGAGAGAGAGAGAGAGAGAGAGAGAGAGAGAGAGAGAGAGAGAGAGAGAGAGAGAGAGAGAGAGAGAGAGAGAGGGAGCAGAGGCCCGGGGAGGGGGATAGGAGTGCTCTATTCAGGAACTGTATCTCCGCTATAATCCAGTGATTATTCCCACGACATCTGGTGTAGTCGTCATCCCGGCAAAGCAGTTCAACGTTTCCCCCTCAGAATTCGTAACAGACGCGACAATAATGTTTTTGCAGCCATACACAAGACAAGCAACTGCAGTATGCGCGGTATGGAAGAAGGCTACCTGTTATTGGGAAGTCAGCTTGGCGTCCAATTGGCTCAAAGGTTGAATGAAGAATGCAACACAATAATGTCAACCAACGTGTGAAACTGGGATGTAAGGTAATCTTTTCTATGTGAGGCTCTTCCACCATCCGTGGAAAGCTCAATTTGTTGTAGGCAAAGCGCGGAACACATAGCAGAAGGACGAACAGTTGCGGTTTCGTAACTCCTGAGTTCATGAATTGAATGGATCACCAGACGAAAACTGAGTTTGGATAATCTTTTCTAAGTACCGGTACTCGCAGACTCCATTGCGGCAATTATGTACACATTGGGGTGCCTCAACTCAAACCCTTTTAAAAACACGATCTCTTTGCTGCATACATGTACATGTACATGTATGTCACTTAATTTTTGACACATCACCAGGGTGAAACTGAAAACCGAAAATGCAAACAAACAACCAGTTGAATACTAGCAGATACATTGTATGCAATGAGGTGCTGTAGGAAAGCGATGAGAAGAGAGCAAAGAAAAATGTGCAAGAATTGTGCTTGTGTGTGGAGAGCAGCAGCGCGGGTGAAAGGTGTTGAGAGAGAGAGAGAGAGAGAGAGAGAGAGAGAGAGAGAGAGAGAGAGAGAGAGAGAGAGAGAGAGAGAGAGAGAGAGAGAGAGAGAGAGAGAGAGAGAGAGAGAGAGAGAGAGAGAGAGAGAGAGAGAGAGAGAGAGAGAGAGAGAGAGAGAGAGAGAGAGAGAGAGAGAGAGAGAGAGAGAGAGAGAGAGAGCGAGAAAGAGAGAGTGGAGTGGAGTGGAGAGCTGTGTTTGCATATGTGTGTGTGTGTGTTTGTGTGTTTGTGTGTGTGTGTGTGTGTGTGTGTGTGTGTGTGTGAATATGTCAGTGAGACAAAGAAAGAGAATGCATGCAGTGCACTAGCCGAGGCTATACATGTACATGTACATGTACGTTTTAACGAATGAAGAACGGAGTTTGTTGCAATTCAAACTTCACGTTATGCGGCCCTCAGGTAATGAGATTTTGTAAAAAATTAGTTCACTCAGGAATAAATAGCACATACTGCATCCAAGATGTGCTAGAGCTGTTAGCCAGTTAGTTGTAAACGTCAGTACCATCGGTCAGTGTGGTGCAATGTTATGGCATGAGCTGATTGTTTAGTAACTGGTGGTGTTGGTGGACGTTATAGTGTAACTTGTAGTTTCTTGGTCCATTTTTTCTTCTTTTATAAACTAATCCTTGGCTCTCCATCCGAGTCCGACATACATACTGTAAAAGCCATTATTCTAACCAGGCACATATACATATACATATACATTTCCTCTGTGCTGCGCTGATGAGTCCACAAAGGACGAAACAGTTCTGTCCGCAGATTGAGTACATATACATATACATATACATATACATATACATATACATATACATATACATATACATATATAGCAGACTCAGCGGAGGACGTTCAGGTTGGTTGTAACTCTGAGTTTCATGCCGCTAGGCAATCATCAGACAACTGATACTCGGGTCTACCCAACAGTATGCTTATAAACATAGAGCCACAAGCATAAACAAATTTAGCGCTAAATCTGGCGTGAGGTATGGGGAGAAAGCTGGCGCGGGCCAAGGCGCGACAGGGGGAAGTGCCAGGATGGTGGCGGGCAACAGGCAGGTGTGAGCATGAAAGCGCGGAAAGAGGCGATGGGGAGGCAGTGTACAGCAGATGGGTGGAGGTGCCAGGAGGGTGGCGGGCAATGGGCCAGTGAGATCGCTACAAGTAGGGAGTCGTTTGGTGACGGGCAGGCGTGAGCAGAGTGGCATCGCCGACTACAGGCCAAGGGATTTTGTTATTAATAATAATGGGTGCTCAGGCAAAGTGCAGTACAGTACTTGGTCAGTTCATTTGATAGGTGTGAAATTTGCGAGGCGGAACTTATTCTCGTGCCTGCATTTCGAGACCATCTCAGACCGCTTGTTGAGTAGGAGCTTCTTGGGTGTAGTCAGGATGTGGAATGTTTCCGCGGTACAAAGATTGCATTTTTTTGACTCACATCTGTATGATCGGCTCTTCTCCCGCACCTTCCATGTAATGGTCAACGGCTTTCCCTCGCTCTTCAGCTCCCATACGTGTTTTGCGAGCTCAGTGCTGTTTTTGTATTTCTCATGACGCATGGAGGTCAGGTGGTTGGCGTGACGGGCTTTGAAAGGTGTCTCTGATAGGCCGATGTAAATCTTGCTGGTAGATTCTGCAGTGGCCTCATACACAATCTCCTTCGTCTGGCACTCTCCGCGCAGCGGGCAGGATTCCTTGATTCTACAGTTGTATACATATACATATACATAATATACATGTACATGTATAACAATTCCCCCGAAGGACGTACCCAGACGGCCAGAGTGTTGTATAACGATTTCCCAAAATTGACTGGTTTACGTGTACCAAAGGTAACAATTCTCACGCATTCTCAACGCTCAATAGAACAGTAGATGTATCGATTTCTGTATAACGATTTTTTTAAGTTGGCTCCTACCCCTTGGGTCCGTTTTGTTATGGCTTTCACAGTATCCACCGGATGAGTATGTGTGGCCCATGCAATAAGCAATGTACCGTACTGGTAGAGATCCACGATTACAACGCAACATTCTGTTCCCTCAGCAATACATGTACATGTACATGCAAGAAACGAGAAATGGGGAAACAGATGACGATAACAGCTCCAAAGTGCAGTCAGGGACGAAAATTGCGTTAGACTGGAGTTGTGAACAACGCCCTCAAACAAAAAGTAGCGATTGTAGCATTCAGGAGAAGCTCGGCGACTGCAAAGGACCTCTTTGGAGATGGCGTAGAGTTTGTACCTGCTTAAGCCTTTGTGCTTGAGGAGCTGCAACTGCGCCTTGATCCTAGAGGGGTTGAATTGTGGCGTTCCTACGGATGCGGAAAACTCGGTCTCTAGCCGAGTCTGACGCGAACCGTGAACTTTTTCTTCTCCTTCTTGTGATTTCGCCTTTGTTTTTGTCCAATTTCAGTATGACGGCACTGGGTGTAACCGTAGAAGTGTGGGATACAAGTATCAGAGTCGTCATTCCATCGACGTTGGTGTGGCTGAAGGCCGTATCGCAACGCTGTCGTTCAGAAAGAAGTATGCCAACACTGTACTGAAGCTGTCCTACTCCGGTAACATACGCATATACGTGGGCGGTGGACAGTCCCGTTGGTATTTCAAGATCGATGGCAAAGAGTGCGCAAGACCCACCAGGATTGATATATCCATGGCCCAAGTGAACAATGAGAATAATCACATTCCGGCTCTGCTCACTGGTGTTTGTGAATCCACTAGCAGCGACGAAGCTAACATCGCAGCTGGACTGCATGATATTTCTGTTCATGTTGGAGGTATTGGAAGCGCTCCCAAAGGACATGCTTACTCAGGCTGGGCTTCTACATCTATCCTGGAAATTCAAGAAATGTGCCCACAGTATTAACATTCATGAATATTGTACATGTACATGTAGCTTGCATGAAAAGCGTAGTGGTAATGAGCAATACAAATTCATTGGAAAATCTGGCACTAAATTTATGCGCGAAGCTAGCATAACGGATTTGCATTCGTTAGTTATTGTGTCTCAGTATGCCTTCTTAGGATCTTCAATACTAGACCGGTTTGTGGTAGATACATGTACATGTAGTGATGTACATCTCCGACACAGCCATAGAAAACTTCGAAGTACCTGTATCAGAACGTAGTAGCAGTACGTGTAGAAATAGGCTTCCATTTTCGGTACACCGTATTGATCTTTGTTTTGTCTTGTTGGATATGGAGCATTCACACACACAGCCTAGCCGGCCACGAGGACCTGCCGCTATTTCGTTATAACAACACCTTTAATTTATAATCATTGTCATGCATTTTTAATAGTCCACCAAGTACTATTGGTGCTTGCACTCCGTTTCCCACACGCGCACGCACACTTCCCCACACGCACACTAGCACACGCATGCATGTACATGTACATGTACACCCACCTCCATACACACCTCTATCCGGTTGTGCACTTTCATTTCTCTCGGGGGGGTTTCTTTTCCTTGTTTTCACAACCATCACATGTAGCAGAGCTCAAAAGAGACAGAAGCGGAAAGGTACTTGGCTGCCCTGTACGCGAACTGTTCAGGTCGCCGAATGTCTCAGTACTCCTTGTTGGTTTTGTGCCATTTTGTCCCACTCGCTGACTGTATAAGATCTGGTTACGTTGGCGGACAGTTAGTCATAACTCGCAACATTTTGTCCTCCTTTTCTCACCATGGTCTATTATTATTATTAAGTACATGTATATGTATTTGCAACAGTCATAACCAAGATACATGTACATGTACATTGTACATGTATCTTGGTTAATGTACAAATGTACTGTGTTGTTTTATTTTTGTTTTCCGCTGTATTCATCAGCTTACAAGTCCTCTTCTTTCCTCAATGTTCACCCTCCAGTCGGCTGCTACTTGCACCAAGAGGCGCACTAGAGGGCAGTCATTCTCTTCACTTTCTTTGCCCGCTGCTACCACTAGATATGGCATGTTCTCTATTTCTTTCCTTGGCGCTGATAGGTGGAATTCTCTGCCTGTCTCGTGTCGTCAGGTTGAGCATCTATCCGTTTTTGTTTCGCTCTGTAAAGAGCACTTAGGGTTCCCTGTAACAAGACGGCAACGTCTGTAGTGTAGGGCCTTCCCTATCAAAATAATAAATTCTACTACTACTACTACTACTACTACTACTACTACTACTACTACTGTACATGTACATGTACATGGGAAAATACATGACATGTACAAGGACCCTCCCCGGGGTACCTCCATGCCGGTTGGCACTGACAGGCTCATACGCATAGTAAGGGCGCGTTCAGACTGGCGTGAATAGCCGCTGGAAAGCTGCAGCGTAAGGGATATGGAGGAGTTCACCAGCAGCAGTGAAGGAGATCACTGTGACCTTGAGGCTTGACACTCCAGATCACACCGACATCAGGCATGTTGTTCAACTAACTTGTTACTTGGCGGTCCCAAGAATTCTCGGAATTCTCTCGAATTGTGTATCTTGGTTAATAACCCTTTGGGGCCCACAATTATTTCAAGAAATGCACTGCATACGCGAGCCCAGTTACTTATCTGGTCGTAACTTTGGTGTCCTTTGGCCGATTTTGGTGATCTGGGCTTTCTGGAAAGCTCTTGGCCAGAGGAACACAGCGATAGCCAGCAATCCATCACTCGATCCACAGAACCAGCGCCGCAGCGCGATACGGCGCTCCAAAGCCAGCATTGCGAGCACCCAACTCAAAATCACCTCCACAATACGACCACGAAAGGATGAGATGGTGGGGCGCTCTGGCGGTACTTTACGGTACATGTACAAGGACCCTCCCCGGGGTACGCCTCCATGCCGGTTGGCACTGATAGGCTCATACATGTACGCATACTCGCATAGTAACGGATATCAAGGAGTTCACCAGCAGCAGTGAAGGAGATCACTGTGACCTTGACACTCCAGATCACACCGCCATCGGGCATGTTGTTCAACTAACTTGTTACTTGGCGGTCCCAAGAATTCTCGGGTTCGGACGGGTACAGCACTGCACTGTCGTCCAGAAAATCAGCGGAAAATACTTCATTGCACAATTTACTTGGAGACAAGAATGTACATGTACATGTACATGTAATTACTGTATACATGTACCTGTAAGACGGCAACGTCTGTAGGGCCTTCCCTATCAAAATAATAAATTCTACTACTACTACTACTACCTGTACATGTACATGTACCTGGAAGTAGGACAAACTTCAGGTTCTTTAATATACAGTCTAGCTATGAATAGGATGAAGGCCGCAGACATCACGCAACTACGCTACTTGTTTGACATGTATTTACTGTGTATTTTATAACAAAAAAAATATTATTGAAAATCCATAATCGATTTTCTTGTTCCTATCATCAGTGGGAAAAAAAACTGAAGTTTTTTCCCACTGATGATAGGAACAAGAAAATCGATTATTGGTTTTCAATAATATTTTTTTGTTATAAAATACACAGTAAATACATGTCAAACAAGTAACGTAGTTGCGTGATGTCTGCGGCCTTCATCCTATTCATAGCTATATTAAAATTATTATCTCCACGTAGATTATTTTGTATATTTCAGGTTTTTCTTTTTTTCTCTCGTTTTTTGCGCTTTTTTCACACATACGAATGTTTTCATTTTTTGGTGTTGTGTTCTAATCATTCGCCATGCCACTGTCAATTGTATTCTGTTTGCCCGTAAAAGAGGCCTTATGATTTAGCCACACAAACGTCAGGCTCAACGTTTTGAAAGTTTTCATTAGTAGACTTTCACACTTGCACCTTTTCCCCACAACCTTCTATGTGTATGGGTACGCATTTGTAGAGACCGGCGGATTCTGCTCGAAAAGGTGGCAGATTCTGCTCGAAAAGCAGAAAAATTGGCAGAACCATACAAACCTTATGGCGGGAAATTCCTCGAATTCTGCTCCATTTCTTTATCCACAAACATGTACCAAACATGCATGAAACTTACCAGAAAAAGAACCGAATTCTGCCAATTTTTCTGCCGGCAGAATCAGCTGGACCCTACGCATTTGACACTGTTGTTTTGGCTCTTCTTCCTTGCGCTGTTTCTGTCACCTCTCTGCAGTATTTAATCCATTGTCCATGTTCATTTTGATTTGCCTGCGATTTACCTGATGATAAGGCATGAATGAATGCTAGTGAAAACGTTCAAAATTTTGAGCCTGAAGTGTATCCTACTTCTAAAGTAAAATTATTTACTTTATTGCACATGTACATAATGGTACACATTATGTACATGTACATGTACGTGTACACAAAGGCAGAAGAGAACAGAGACAGCCGGCTGTCTCTGCTCTTTTCTGCTTTTGTGGTAAGGCCACCCTTTCTTTTTTCGTCCGCGCCCGCGTACCTTTTTGCCTCCGACCGGAAAAAAACAAGAAAGTAGTAGTACCAATAATATTATTATTATTATTATTATTTGTGCTCCCGCGTCAATGGGCTCGCCCAAATTCGCTTGCACCGAACCATGCGAAAAAAGGCCACCAGCAGGCAGGCAGGCAAAGAAAAATAGAAAATGGTGTCACATAAACTAATACAAACAAGAATATCATTATTGATGACATTAATATACTGAATGAATGGCAAAGGCCATGTGAATACGGATAATACGGATAATCAGAGTACCAACAACAAAGAATGTAGCTCAAACCATTGCAGTGCCAACTTCCTTCACCAGTACTCTGCCTTGTACGCATCTGTAACTGCGTTGCACAGATATGTCCATTCACGGCGATCCAGTGCTCGCTGAGCCATCAGCTGCAAGTCCCCTGGAGTCCTCAGACGGCAGCCGACTCGCTCCGCGTCTTGATTCAGCAGGACTGGTAGCGTGATCCGCGGCCGCCCACGGTATCCCGGCACGGAGCAGCCAAAGAATCCACTCATGGCCTCCCTTGCCGGTGTGTGCTCATCTGATCGCAGGATGTGGCCAAACAACCGCCATCTTGCATTCACCAGAATGTTGCCAAGTGGAGCAGCACTGCAGCGCTCGTAAACCAAATCGTTCGACAGTCGGTTGGGCCACCTGATACCCAAGATATGCCGAAGTTGCCGCCGATGATACGATTCCAGCGCTTCAATTGTCTGTCGAGTGATGCCCCATGTGGAGCAGTTGTAAAGCAAGACAGGTAACACGAAGCAGTTATACAGCCGGACGCGCACCTCCAGACTCACTTGGTCTCTTCTCTTCCATAACTGGCAGAGGGACTTAAACGCTATCGCCGCAAGCTGCTTTCTGCGGGTGACATCCTCTGCATCACCAAGGAGAGAGCCGAGTTTCTTGACCATACGCCATGGCTCATCAGCACGATCGGCCTCTCGCTGGATGGCTGTGAATTCTGTCTTGGTCTGGTTGACGGTAAGGGACCATGTACCCAAGATGGTGGCAACTTGTGGCTCTAACATCCGAAGCCAATCACTAGAGATACTGATGAAGTCCACATCATCGGCGTACTCCACATCGTACGGAAGATGCCGGGCCACAGGTGCAGCCATTCGCTGTCGCACATCCTGCAGGGCAGCTTCCAGGTAGATCACGAATAGAATTGGCGACAAGGAGTCGCCTTGCGGGGTACCAATGTTAGTGGAGAAAGAGCTTGATGTTTCCGTGCCCAGTCTGACTGCCAAATTCGTATCTGAGATCAGGTAACGGATCAAGCGTACCTCGTCTTCTTCCAAGAATCGCTGAACCACGTCCATCAACTGTCCTCGCCTGATCGTGTCAAAGGCACGTGACATGTCGATGCCCAGTATGCTGAATGACCAGTGGTACCGCTGGGTCGTAGCTGCTAACCACCGATGGCACCAGACCACATCAGCTGTTGACCTTCCTGCACGAAAACCACTTTGGTTCAGTGATAGGAAATCGTTTACGGCTGGCGAGATGCGCTTGAGGACTACCAGCGACATGACTTTGCGTAGAGTTGTCAGGAGGATGATCGGTCGCAGACTGGTTAAAGCACCCACCGGCTTTCCGGGCTTCTGGAGAGGTATTAGTGTGCCATGACCGATGAATGGCTCTACCCGGTGTTGCTGAAATAGGCTGTTGATGCATCGGCTTATGACGGGAGCAGTGGCATCGGCTGAGTACTTCAACAGCTCACCCGGGATGTTGTCGGGTCCTGCAGCTCTACCGTTGTTGAGTCTTGCTAGTGCTGTTTTCACTTCCTCCGTTGAAACGGGATGCTGCAGCGGTCGAGGTTCCCCAGTGAAGGATCCAAATTGCTGAATTGCAGAGTCACTGAGCTGCGATGAGAAATGATTCTTAATCTCCAAGCTTGCTTGCTTATCATTACATATGATCTTGCCCTGGCTGTCCTTAACGACGACTTTCTGCGATGGCTTTCGCCGGAGCAAGTGTACAGCTTGGAACATCTGGGCCCCATCCTTGAGCCTCTCTATCTCCTCTGCTCGCAATAATATGCGATTTGAAACTCGGGTATTGAGCCAATAATAAATGTAGAAAGGTAAAGGACATATGGAAACGAGTTAAGAGTAACTCTCCACCACTGTAACTAGATACTGAGTAACTCTCCACCACTGTAACTAGATACTATATACAGTCAGAAAGTGCAACAACTAGGCACAAAACTGACAGAGTACTGAGACATTCGACGTCCTGACACCTAGCTTCAACACATCTCCGTAGCGCTAACCGACAGCCTTCCAACTTGGAAGGTTCAAGGTTATGGAAAGACCAAAGAGGGGAAGGCAAGCGCAACGAAAACGAGCACAAGCTACAGTCCCAACGGAACAAAGAATGTCGATTGTCACTGGACGATGACGAGACCAGTAGGCGATTTGACAAAGCGGTCACTTTTTACGTGTTTGGCATGCACTGCATTTGACTGTGTGAATGCACAGGCGTTGCAAGTGGCTTGTACGGTCATGTAAACGCGAATTTTTGTACCGTGTGTGAATGCAGCCTTAACAATGAATTTTAAAAGGTGTCAGACTACCCAAAAAGCGCTGAAAAATCGAATTTGTAAATTCATATTGAGTGCTACGTCAGTTGAAAGAGCATGAATAGCTGCAAATTCTCTGAAAATTGTGTCCCGATCTGACCGGCCGTTCAAGAGTTATGGCCGAAAATGTGCCCTTGCAAGGAAAGATTTTTTTGTTGCACGCTGTCATTTGTTGGCAGCACTGTATTTGA